AGGCAGGCCACACTGGTCCAGTAGTAGTTCTCTGAGGTCTCATGGTCTCTGTGTTTCCTCATTCCTAGGCTGAGTGGGGAAGGCGTTGGACCAGTCAACATCTGTAAGTATCTTTCCTTGCCTCCCTCCCTTACCCTTGTGTTCTTCTGACTTGACTCAGGCTGACATAATGAGCTCACCATGTCTGTGTGTCCTTGTCTTCCTCCCCTCCACAGCTGTGGTGCAGTCCACCATCTCCAGTGGTTATGGCAGTGCTGGTGGTGTCGGCAGTGGCTTCGGCCTGGGCGGAGGCAGCGGCTACTCCTATGGCAGTGGTCACAGCCTTGGAGGTGGCTTCAGTTCTGGCAGTGGCAGAGGCTTTGGAGGTGGCCTCAGCTCTGCTGGGGGCAGCAGTTCCACCATCAAATACAGCACCACCTCATCCACCACCAGGAAGGGCTACAAGCACTGAAGTCCTCCCGTTGGCTCTTGTTCCTACATTGTCTCAAGGCCCCCTCTGCAGCTGCATGATCCTCTCTTCAGGTTGCTTCTTCTCTCCTGTCTCAGATTTCTCTTGTCCCCTGGGTTAAGCTGAAATTGCCTAATCCTCATTTCCTCTCTCAATTCCTGTTAGATCTGAGCTTTCATTACTCACCCTAAGAAGGTCAACAATCAATGTCATGCAGACACGTAGACATCTTTTTGATGTTCCCATATTATTATCAGATATATCAGTCTGCCATAATTCTGGTAAGAAAATGATGTATGCCCCATGAAAATTGAAACTTGATCTACATCATCTACAGAATGGGGAACCTTGCCTTTGATGTCTGACTTCCCTGCTCATTATAACTCCACACAGGAGTTGCCCTTAGAACAAATAAGTTATCTTCCCATCAGTGTCCCTAGATGGTATTGACACAACACTCTCATGTATAGAGTTATATCCCTGCAATATTTTTCTCTGCTCTTTGCTTTCAATTGTTGTGTTCAATAAAGCATATTTCTAATACAAAGATTTTGTGTTAGACTGTATCTCTGATCATGTATTGGTTCTGAAACTTTCTCATACCACACAATGATCCTCATATTCAGAAAACCATTTCTCAGCCGCACTGACAATTTACCTTGCTTCATGCCCAACTAGGTCAGTCAGCACTATGTGAATCTCAGCTATCCTGTGAGTTGATGACTACCAACAACTATTCAGTCCTCTGCTACTCAAGTCTCGTTCTCAGAGTGAAGTGTTTTAGAGAAAAGGAAGCCAGGGTCCTGGAACCTAAATCAGTATAACCTCATAACTGAGGGGTTTTGTTTTTCAAGCTCCATCATTTTGTGGCTTGGTCCCCACCCAGATATCTGAGACTCTCGGAGATACCCCTCACTACTCCCACCCACAAACAAAGAAACACTGTACTGACCCAGCAAAACAGAGGCCAGTTGGTAGGAAGGTGAAATGCTTGATTCCTCTCTATGATAATAAAGACTTTTGCCGCAAAGTTATTGTTTTTACTAGTGTATACCATCTTGAGATGTATCAAACCAGTTGGTACAGAAAAAAATATCCCCAGATCATGGTGGATGGATTAATAAAACCACATAGTGCTAAATGAGTTGGGAAAGATTTCCTTTGCATACAAAGATAGTTGGATTCACTGAAGAAGTTCTCTTGACAAATGCTGGTTAAAATTTATGGACCTGTAAATTTCATAGTCTGTTAATTACATCTCCATAACTTTGAAATAAAATAACTCAATAAAATATATTAATAAAACCTCGAAAAAGTGTTGGTTAGGAGTCTTGTTCTGAAAAGCTATTGGCAAAAAGATGAGATTGAAAGATGGTCCATGTGGACAGGCAGGAGGTGGTTCTGGCTGGGAACAATCTCCTTTTGTGATCAGATATCCAAAAACCATTTTCAGTATAAAGATGGATGTAAATTTTGATAAGCAAAAATAGAGTTTGGAGGTTCCTTAAAATCTTCCCAGATATCAGTGTCAGGGTTATATTTTGACTTTTAGACAGAAATGGATTCTCTATCTTTCAGGTCATGTTTGTACAAGCTTATTTTAGAATTTGGCTAATCAGGTATTTTATACTCAATCTTATCTTTAGGCAAAAAAATTAAAAAGCAAGGAAAACTTCCAATAACAACAATAATGAACTCAGTTATAATAATATTTTGTTAATCTGAAACCATGGCAAAATCCCTGTGCCTCAGGTCATAAGTCAAGTTACTGTCTAGCCTTGTTCCATGATTGCCTGAAGGTTGGCAAGAGTCTTGCTGCTGAGCTGGTCACTAAGCAGATATTTGGGGCTCAAGGAGACTTTTGATAATTAATGACTTCCCTACCCTTCTATTATATAGACACAGGGTTTGAGATTGAGATCAAGGGCATGGTGGAAGCAGAGCTTAGGAACTGTCATGCTGTATAAATCCTAGAAGCTAATAGGGAAACTTCCCAATACAGTCTCAGACTCGGGTTATCTCTCTCCACATGAGAAGCTCCATGAGAGTAGGTTACAGGCCTCCCTCACCACCCTAGAGTGAAGGCCAGCTGAGTACCCAGTTCTGCAGAGCCCAACTCCCTGCCAGCAAGCTTGATACTCAGAGCAGTCACCTATCTTAATCATCTATGAATAGGGCCACCCAGACTAAATAGAGAATGCCTACTTAAATTTGAATTTCACATAAACAATTAAAATAAATTTGCATAAGTATGTCCCAAATATTGCATGGAACATACTTATACTGGCCATTATTTGTTGTTTAGTTGAAATTCAAATTGAACTGGGCATCTTGTATTTTTATTTGCTAAAGCTGGCAACTCTATTTATGAAGTAGATCTGCCCTTGGACTGGACTACAGACAGGGCACTGCTGCGCTGGATCTCTACTTTAAAGGGGCAGACAATAGGCAAGGACCAAACTTAAGACCCTTTCCTCTAACCATCCCCTCTCTTCTACCCCAGGCCCATCCATGTCTTCCATGTGTTCTACAGTTTCTCAGGATTGACCCGGGGGGTTGGGGGGGGGGGGGGGGGGAGGCGGGCGGGGTGGGGGGGGGGGGGGAGACAGCATGACCAACTGGTTGGCCATCTTAGCTGGAACTTGAGCCATGGACTTCTTTTTAAAGGACATTGTGTTTATTTATTATTATGTGATCTGTTAAAAGTTGTTAACTTGGAAATAAGGGTGAAAGCAAATAAGTCAAAATGTTAACCCCTTCCCCGGCAGAAACGTGTATACACGTTTTCATAAAATGTTCTTTTTTCAGTCGTCGACGAGTATACTCATCTAAAACTTTACCTTCAAAAACCAGCTACATACGTACCATTCTAAATAATTTCATCTAGAAACTTTCTGAGGAAATACTATTCTTAACCACAAAAATGGGAAGAAAAAATAATTACAAACTGTTTTCATAACCAGCATCAAAAATACTATATAGAACCAAAATAAAAAAATTAGTCTGAAAAAGAAACGTTTTTAACAAAAAAATTGTTGGGGAAGGGGTTAATAGTGACTGATTCTGAGGAGTGGGAACTTGGGTAATTGTTGTTGTTTTTTTGTTTTGTTTTTTGTTTTTTAAGTTTTTATTTTTTATTTCATTATTTTAAAGCTGGAAAAGTTTTTTTGTTGTTTGTTTTTTCAAATTTTGTTTTATTGCTTAAAGTATTACAAAGAGTATTACATATGTCTCCTTTTTTTTTCTCCCCTTGACCTTCCCTGGCCTCCCCTACCCCCCAGTGTCTTGTGTCCATTGCTTATGCTTATATGCATGCATACAAGTCCTTCGGTTGATCTCCTACTACCCCTCCCCCCAACCCTCCCCAGCCTTCCCACTGTAGTTTGACAATCTGTTCGATGTTGCTCTTTTTTGTACTTTTCTCTACATAAAGGTAAACATCCTCATCTTTCCCATTGAAATACCACTTTTGTTACATACTGATTTTCTCTTCTGTCCCATTCACTTCTGTGTAATCACATCATTGTAGTTACTAGAGCTTTCTATCCCACGTTGGTTTCTTATACAGCAATTCCTACTCATTGTTCGTTTTTCAGTATTTTCTGGCTATTCTTGTGCATTTTGTGTTGTTGTTATTGCTAGTATTAGGTATCCCTAGGTATCTGAAGAGTTTTTGTATTGTGAATTAGAACCCTTTCTTTCCTGTCATATTTTATAGTCACTAAAAGGTGGTGCATGAGAATTGTTGATTTCTGTATCCACTCACCTTGCTGAACTTTATCCCAGTTATAATGATAAGTGACAAGTAAGAGCCAGGATCCAAGGATTGACCTGCCTCCTTTCAGAATCTGTGCTCTTCCCCCGTGGGAGGGAGGTGTGGTCTCACCCAGACTCTGGCTCCATCAGTTCACCTTCTGGCCCTGGGGAGAGGTGCAGGTACGAACAAGGAAGGACTGACCTGGCCTTCCCCTAGCACTCCAGCCTTTTCTTGCTTTGCATGCCCTCTGGTGGAGATGCCATTCCCCCAGAAAGAAAAGAGTAGGCACAGGAGTGGGATGCTCACTTAAATGGGGCATCTGCTGGATGATGACATCAGTTGATGCCATATTCACACACTGAGGGCAAACACCAAGCCATGTTGCCCTTGAGCTTGAGAATTCCAGCCCACACTGGGCGGAAGAGGGATGATGCTTTTGCCCCAGCTGGCACAGTTACTGCTCTCTCCTCCTCCAGCTCTGGACTCGATCCAAGCTTTATTTTGTCTTTTCTCTTTCTGAGAGCCCTTTCTGGTCTCTGAAGCCTTATTTTCCCTACTCTGACTTGTTATTTATTCTTTGGTAATGAGGGAGTGGTGAGTAGAACGTGATTGTCTTTAGCCTGTGTTATCCTTGTCTCAAAAACTGTCTTCCAAACTTCATTATTTGCTCATGTATACCCAATGTCACTCAGAAATCCAGCAAAGTCATTCAGCAATACAGTGTAAGATTACCTGTGGCATAGCTGGGTTCTGGACCCTACAGATAATTTACAGGAAGGTAGGTACATATTAGGTACATATTGTATTCAACTGAATCATGTGCTTACCCCAGAAAAAAATCCCTCTCTCCTGGCAGAGCCAGAACTACACACACACACATGCAAACACACACCATATAAACCAAAAGACAATGGCAATGTGTAAAAAGTATGAAAGCATGTGATCAATGGCAGGTCCAACTTCAGAGAGGTTAAGTGGATGTCAGTTCTTTCAAAGGGAAATTTTTAAAGAAATAGGAAAATCATATTTCAAAATCCACAAAATACTATGATGCCTAAACAACCTTATCAAAATAGAAAGTACAGGTTGCCTATCTCAGAGAGACATTAAATGCTCCAAGAAAATAAAACAAACAAGTAAAAAAGAATTCCATTCATTGCAGAATCACACCCTCTACATCATTCCAGAAAAAAAAAAATAGAAATGTCACAACTTCTCTGGAGAGAGGGTATCCCTGTTTACAATTAGACCACAGAAGCCCTTTGATACTGAATTGAATTTTTCGTGCCAAGGTTCAAGTGTATTACCTGGTCACTACAACAACAATGAAGAAACAGGTTGGTCTCCTAACATAATGCCTTTCCCCTTTCCTCACACCTCCTATTTCCCAATTCACTAGTCATTTTCATTAGTCTCTGGGCTCACTCCAGGTTGACAAACTCTTGCCTAATAAACCAGTGCTTGAGGCAAATGAAAACCACTTTGAAGTATTCCTTTAAAAGGACTGGTGTCTCTCATTGGCCTGATGGGAGCACATCCAGAATTTCCCCTGGGAGGGAGTCACGCAGAGGGTGCTGGGGCATCTCTGTCCATGGGGTCATATAGCATTTTATCCTCTTTCCAGAGAGGGAGTGAGAGCAGTGTCCTGGTCGCTCAGATGTAACCTGCATCACAGACATGGTGCTGGTCTGTTCAGTGGAAACTATTTCATCCCATCAGACTCCAGAAATATGTCTGATTTTGCACCCGAGGAGCCTTCTGCAAAGTTGCACATCAATTGCATGTTGTGTGC